TGAGCGTATCCTCTTGAAGCTTTTTGAACATTCCCCCTGTGTTGATGATTGAGTCCTTTTGACTTGTAAACTTTAGAAATGGACATTCGTAGGACACTGTTATTAGCATGATCTAGCTTTTTAATAGGGTGCTCCTAAATTAGGACGCTGCTATTTAGTAGGTTGCTCCTATTTTTAATAGAACACTTGCAAGATGCTCCTATTAAAAACAAGACTCTACAAAATAGTAGGGTGCTCCTTTTGAATCATAGTCCATTCCTTATGTTTTTATTGAGGTTAAGAAGTTCCCACTCAATCTGTGATAATCTTCTCATAAGCAAGATGAACGTAATAATGTTTGCCTAAAACCTTTGAGTAGTTCCCCCTGAGTTGTATGTCCTTCAATTGATATCAAATGATGATACCAAACGATATTTTACTGTGATGAGGAGGAGTACCTTTAGGGTTTTCTGGCATATATATTTCTTCTTCAAGGTTGTTCAACATTCAAGCTATTGCCTTGAGAATTAGATGTGCTAGGATCCTTTGTTGACTCTGAGTATCTCACTGTTGTAGACATAATCAAAATCTATCTTCCATGCTATATGATCCTAACAATCTTTGTGTGATGTTGTTGATGCTGGTTCAATCCTTCTTTGAGTAAGGTCATTCTGATTGGGATTGCACATCATCTTATACATCCACTTATACCCGGTGGTTGGAGAAGAAGATCTTTTCAGTTGGTTCTTTGCCAGCAGTTTTTCAATAAGCAGCTTGGAGCTTACTGTCTTAAGAATCTCTTCTTTCCAGTGAGCACATCTTTGGTGACATTCTTGAGAACAAAATGTCTTCTTCTGTCATAGACTGATGTGTGCTCAATAGATAATTCTTTAAAACATTAACATAAGTTGTGTTAATGATCTGAGAATTTCAGTATGTTTGTCTCCAGTCTTGACCTCTTTATTCCACTCAATACTTTCATCATCTTTTTGTCTTTTTGGTCCTTCCTTTTCTTTAAGAGCAATAGTACCACTTTTGATACCATGAGATACTTACAACGGTCTTTTGATATTCATAAACATCAGATGTCAATTGATGAATAATGAAATCATTAGATCTTTGCTTGTTTCATGATTTTGGTTGCTCTCTTCTCTCTTTATATCATTGAATCTCTTTTGAACCTTCTCTGATCCCTTTGTGGACTGATTGACTTCCCAAAAATGTTGTCAGTCAGAAGGGTGTGTGATAAGTTCTCTGGTATGGGAGTAGGGGTAAGGAGGGTGTATGATGATGTGGAAATATATAGTTGGTTACTGGTCTATTTGTTTGATATATATGGATAATGGATGGGCCAGTAAGTGTTTTGGTATTCTGGAGGTCAGGGACAGAATTAATAGTCATATTCAATTTGAATCCTGTAGTATGATCTTCATTAGTAATGAACGTAATGAGATCTCTCAGTTTTTATTCCTTATAAGATTGATCTCAACCATCAGATTATCCTTTTAGTACTCTTGTTATTTTGGATTTTTTGATGTTCAAGTTTTTCAGTTTGTGAAAGGAATAAATTTATCTGAATGTTTTATGAAGTAAAGTACAATTGGGATAAAGGTTTGAACATTCAAGATAACCTGAGTTACTGGGGATGTATTTGAATATACCTCTTCATGAACATCTTTCTTTGAAAGAGTTTTCCAGAACTGTAATGTCATGATAGTAGGCTTGATTTCTTCTTCACGTTGAATAACAGTCCCTTTCCTTGATGTGTGATCAAAGCTTTATTTCTCCTTCCTTGTTTCTTCTTGGAAGAGTATCCTTCATAGTGTGTTCCATCTCTGTTCTATAAGTGTTTTGGGAAATTGGTGGTTGATCTTTTGTTCAAAATAAGTCGGTTAAAAAGTGACTCTATGAACAACCGTTCTGATAAAAATCTTTTGGGAGATAAAAATCCCAAGTGAGGTAGAAGTCTAGAGGGGGGGGGGTGAATAGACTTATAAAAATCTTTTCTTTTTCAACCCTTTTTCCTTAAACAAAATGTGTTCCAATATCTTTTGGGAGATATTGAAACATACAACGGAAGTCTTGACCTCAATAGTGCGACACTTTATAGGAACAAAGGTTATGACCCTTTTGTTGTTTCAGAGATGGGTGGACAGAGCACCTTTGTGTGAAGGATTTAGACCTATTGATATAGATCTCATTGAAGTACGTAGGTAAGGAGTTTCGATTAACAAAAAACTTTAATGAGTTTTCTGGACAGTGAATATGCAAGCTTTTGGGATAGTATGAAGGTCAGTGAGAACTGAAGTATGTGTTGGGTGCTGAATGTAAAAGGTACACAAGATATATCCTGGTTCAGAGGTGGTGTAATCTTCCTACATCCAGTCCCAACCTATTTCAGATGGATTTCCACTAAATGAATATCTCATTACATTTAGTGCCCAATCTACCTCTGACCCGGGCGTAGATTGTGAGGTTTTTCACGAGGAACCAGACTGTTCCAAGCTACTCATGTCCCCCACGGTTTTTCACTAATGGCTTGCCCAGCCAAGAGCTACTCATGTCCTTGACTCACCTTCTAGATGATCACAACACATCCAGAATGTGTATAGTAGGCTAGTTTACATGGGTTTAAACTAGTCTACCAACTAATCTAAGTTCTATAGATGTATATGAATGATGAGCTATTCTAAGAGCATTAGATGAGTGAGGTGGTAACCAGAGTGGTGAAGGTGAATCAGCCAGCTTGATGTGTTCATGTATTTCTTGATTCCCTTCGGTTCCACTGGGTTCCAATATACCAGGGTTTGTTGCCATCTGGTGCCACACTTGGTCTTCCCGCACTCCTTCTGTATTTATAGACTTTGTTGTTGAATCTCCTCCGTTGGATGAGTGATTCAATCTTGATCGTTGCTTGATCTACTTGCTTTGTTCCACTTGACTGGGGCAGCATGGTTGATTCTTGTCTTCTTGTGACACGGATCATTTTATCCTCACTCAACTTGATTCCTCATTTCTAGGCAAAGATAAGATGATTTATATTTGATGGATTATCTGACAAGGGGTGGCCAAAATCCAAGTGAAATGAGAGTAAAAGGGAGAGTGAACTGACCAGAAAATGCAAGTACTTGATCCGGCAGAGTAACAGTATATGAGAATTAAGAGTGCAATAGATTAAGCATCAAGCATTCCTTTCCACAAGTTGGAAGGTGGTATTTATACTAAGAGATAAAAGGCAATACTTGGTGCCCAAGCAAAAAGATGCTAGACTAATAGGAGAGGGACACGTGTAAAGCTACTCTAACAAACTAACAGCTTAACTCGATGGGGAGCAGCCACGTGTAAAGCTGATTGGAGAGAGAATCTTTAATAGCTGGCTGGTTGGGGATTGCTTCTAACAGAATTGCTGCCAGAGATCCCGTGTGGCTACGCGTGGGTAACCAGGAATATTCCCTGGTGTTGATGGTGACGTGGCGACACCTCCTTGTGAGGCAAGTCCTTGCGGATTTTGTCTAAGTCCACGATGCTTCATCCAGACCTTGGAAATTACTGAGGTCGATATCTGGGAGCTCGAGCTCGTGATGAGAGGACTCGCCCCTTTGTCCTTTGTTCCCGCCTTTGAGGTAGTTGTCTGCCTGGTGCATGCTGACCATGCGTTTGACTCACGGGATCAGACTTGGTGTCGAGCTCGGATGTCTCGTGGTCGGGCTCATAACCGGTCGAGTCTGATCGATTCCTGAGCTTGGTATTTTCCTGACCTCGATGGTCGAGGTCGGGGTGGGGCAACTTCTCGGACTTTAGCTTGTTCTGTTGACTAGCGCTTGTTCTCGACCCTGGATGGTCGGGGTCGGGGTCGGTATAGCTGTGGACTTAGTCTTTTCGTGCACTCCGGAATGGGTCTGTGGTGCTTTATACCGGCGATTATGATACCCCTGGGGTATACGGGAATATACTCCATCAATCATTCTCTTTAGCTTGTAGAAATTCAGTATCTAGTTTGAGTGTTGTTCAATGCTTCCTCATGATAGGATTACTTGCTTTAGTAAATAATGTTATAAGAAATTTTGTCACATAATTTCTTGTAACATTATTTTCTATACATTTTGTCATTTTGATTGCAAGTGGGTCTTGTGTCTTCTTGTGAGGTGCTAAGACAAGAATAGCAGATATCGAGTACTCAGTCAGAATACCTCATCAGAATACCTATGAGGCCTTCTGCTCTGGTGTCATCATAGAACCACCTCTTCTGTTGAGGTTCTCTAGTACGAACAAGAGGTTCTCTGGTCTGGTGTTAATCAGAGAACCACCTCTTCTGTTGAGGTTCTCTGATATGACCATAACAGAAGATCATGAGATGATCTTTTTAAGTATCGATTCTTTAAGGGTTTCAGTTGACTCTTTTCGTACCTTTTCTTTTTGTTTCTTTTCTTTTTTTGTTTTATGGTATGTTTCTTCTCTTTTTAGTACTCTCTGTTTTCTTGAGTACTTTATCACTATGGAGCACATTACAATAAATAGTAGTAGAACAAATACAAGCTTTAGTCTATTATAGGGATATTATAAAAAGAGGTGGCATCATCAAAACAATATATGATAATCAAAATCTAGGGGGCCTAACAGAAGAGTCCGTAGCAGTAAAGCCCAATTGATTGATTATTTTATTAAAGTTTTTTTTGAGCCCACAAACGAGAAGGTTGCTGTAAGTTTCCATTGCTATCTAAGTTTTGAACTTAATTGCCAAAAAAAATCAAAAAGAAAAACTAAAAAAAGAAAGGAATTTTAGTTCAAAAAAGAAAGTAATAATGGAGATAGTAATAAACAAATAAAAAAAAGAAAAGAAAAACAAAAATGTCTTGTACGGGTCCATGTGGCAGAGGAGTAATATGCAATTACTGCAAGAAGCCCGGGCACTTGATCAAAGAATGTAGGAAATTGCTATTCAAGAATCAAAAAATCAGCTTGGTCATGTTGCTTCCGCTACCAGTTCATTCATCTGATGGATCAATTGTTGTTTCTTCAGACGAGTATGCCAAATTTATTTCCTACCAAGAATTTCTAAAGCATTCATCTATCCCTATCTCGGTAGTCGCTAATTCAGGTATTTCAAACACATGTCTTGTTTCCTCATCCTCGAAATGGGTCATTAACTGAGGTGCCACAGATCATATGAAGATCATATGACTGGTAATCCTAGTCTATTCTCATCATTTCATTCGTATTTACCTTATTCTAGTGTCACTTTAGCTGATGGATCTACCTCACCCGTTCTTGGATCTGGTACTGTTATCCCAACTTCTACACTACCATTATCACCTATTTTTAGTCTTTCTAATTTTGCATTTAATTTGCTTTCCATCAACAAAATCACGCGTACTCTTAATTGTTCTGTAACACTTTTTCCTGGATATTGTGTGTTTCAGGATCCGTTAACGAAGAAGACTATTGGTAAAGGACATGAGTAAGCTGGTCTTTATATTTTGGATACATCAATCACAAAAGGTATCTCTTGTCTTGGGGTCGGGACTTTGTTAGAGGCTCATTACCGATTAGGACATCCATCTCTCCCATTAATGAAGCAAATAAATCCCCAATTCAATAAGATGACCTCTTTACAATGTGAGTCATGTCAATTTGCGAAACACCATCGTAATAGCTTAAGCCCTCGAGTTAATAAACGAGCAAATGCTCCATTTGACCTGATTCACTCTGATGTTTGGGGTGTTTGCCCGGTTGTGTCTTAAGGTGGTTTTAAGCATTTTGTTACCTTTGTTGATGACTATTCTCGTATGACATGGTTGTATTTCATGAAACGTCGATCTGAGTTGTTCACTCATTTTTCTTCCTTTTGTGCTGAAATTAAAACTCTGAGGAAATTCTGCAGTTTATACCTCAACTTGTTACCCATTCTGATAATGCTTTTCTCTCTGCTCTTCCTGTCAAAGAAGAAATTAAATCAGCAGTTTGGGATATCAATTCAAATGGAGCCCCTAGCCCAGATGGGTTTAATGGATTTTTTTTAAAATGCGGGGATATTGTGAGTGATGATTTGCTGCAGGTTGTTCAAGATTTCTTTTTGGGTACCCCTATCCAAAAAGGTATTTCTAGTACTTTTATGGTTCTTATACCCAAATGTGACTCTCCTACTACTTTTTCAGAGTTCAGACCAATTTGCTTATCAAATTTTATGGGGAAAATTTGCACTAAAGTTCTTGCTGACAGAATGTCTACCATTATGCCCAAACTTATCTCACCGGAGCAAGCTGGTTTCATGAAAGGTGCTGACCAGACTCTTATAGCACAGGAAATGGTTCACTCTCTTGAGAAGAAAGTAAGAGGATCAAACTTGATTATAAAATTAGACATGACTAAGGCTTTTGACAGAGTATCCTGGTCTTTTCTGAAGCAGATTCTTACTAAAGTTGGCTTTTCTGATCATATAGTAAGACTCATTATGGATAATCTTCAAGCTACATATCTTTCCATTCTTGTTAATGGGACACCACATGGTTATTTTCAGCCTAAAAGAGGGGTTAAACAAGGGGACCCTCTATCCCCATTTCTTTTTATCTTGGCTTCAGAGGCATTTACAAGAGGTCTTTAATGGCAATTTGAGAATAATTTTATTAAACCTTATTGGATGGGTGCTTATGGGTATCCTATTACTCATTTGGCTTTTGCTGACGATCTGTTGATATTTTTAAACGGGGAATCAAGATCTCTTCTTAATTTTAAGAGATTCCTTGATCTTTATCAAAAGACTTCTGGGCAGTTGGTAAATTAAGAAGGAGGTTTGGGTTTAAGAAGCCTCTCTGATATCCAGATAGCTTTTTCTTTGAAATTGTGGTGGAAATGGAAGTCATCTTCCTCTTTGTGGACTGATTTCTTAAATGCAAGATATCCTAGGGGCAATGCAATGACAGTCAAGGTTACAGATTTGCCAATTTGGAGAAGAATATGCTCAACACATGATCTTGTAACTACTCTCTGTGAACAGGATTCCTCACTAATTTGGAACTGGTCTTCTACTAGTAATGTCATTTTCACTTTTTAGTTTGCTTTTGAGGAGGTTAGAAAAAAAAATCTGTACCTACTTTTGTCAACAAGCACCTTTGGCACTCTAAGCAAAAATTGAAAATTCAAATTTTTCAGTGGAAATTGCTTAACAGATTCCTCCCATTTAGGGAAAATCTAACAAGATTTAACCTAGTTTTAACCCCTCTATGTGTCCCTGGTGCAAGGCCCACTTAGAAAATATGAACCATGTATTATATATGTTCCTAAGATCAAATCTATTTGGAACTACTTCTGCAACATCATGGATATTCCCCAGACTGGTCATTCAGTCAGGCAGATACTTTTCCAATGGTGGCTCTATGCAGGTAGTAAGACTTTGGTGGACATTTTCAGAGTACCCCTTCCGGGGATTATATGTTGGCATATTTGGAAGATCTATACAGAGATTATTTGGGGTTCTGGTCAATCTATACCTTCTACGGACAGCATAATTTGGCAAATCAAACTTTATACTCAATCTGGGAGAACTATCGAATAAGCCCTCGAACTTTCATAAAAAGTGCAAATAAGTCCTTTTAGAGGAGGCTTTGTCCGGCTGTCCCCATTTTGGGCGGTTTCCAATGGAATTTTTTGATGAAATTTTTTGAGAATCTTCTTCGTTAAGTCTAGCTTAACCATACCAAATTTTAGCTAAAAATGCAATCGAGAAGGCAGTCAAATGATTATCTGAAATATACTGCGCTGCCTAACTGCGCAGTTATCTTCAAAAATTCATTTGACTGCCTTACAGATTGAATTTTTAGCTAACATTTAGTATGAGTAAACTAGATTCAATGAAAAAGATTCTCAAAAAAAAATCTTTAAAAAACTCAACCGGAAACCGCCCGGCGATGGTCGGGCAGAGCCTCCTATAAAAGGGCTTATTTGCACTTTTTATGGAAGTTCGAGGACTTATTTGATAGTTCTCCCTACTCAATCTTGGGTCCAAAGTTTATCTGGTTTGAAGCTTATAGCAGCGGGTGATATTCTTTTTACTGAGCAACTAGTTCCAAATTCTTTTCGGTTTCACTCAAAAAAAATTAAGCTGATTAGATGGATGAGGCCTAAAGGTAAGTTAAAGCTTAATGTAGATGCGTCGTACTTACCTAATAGAGCAGCAGGTGGAGCTTTTATGAGGAATGAGAGCGGTGAATTCCTGGCTTCCATTCAGTTTCCATTGCGGGCGACTTCAAGCGTAGAGGCAGAGATTCTAGCGATGGAAATGGCAACTCGTTGGGCTGTTGGTGCCGGCTATGCTGGATTTCAGTTGGAAACAGATGCGGTGGAAGCTTATGACTATGTTTCAGGAAACCGGACTGGAAGATGGATGGCCTCTATCTCTTCGTTGTTGGAGATGGCTAACCGGGCAAGAATTTCGTTTGGGCATATTTTGAGGGAAGGGAATTGGCCGGCCCATTATTTGGCTGATTGTAGAGTGGGCCATGTTCATGTTATTTCTACTTTATTTGACTTCTCTTCCTTCTCTAGCCAAAAGTTCTTACTATTTAGATTTTTTTAATATTCCATCATTTAGATGTTTGGTTTAATTTTCTTAAGAGGTTTGGTTTGGCCCCCCTCTTATTCTTTGTAATTGTTTTTTATTATTAATAAAATACGGCAAATGTTCCCCCGGCATTTGCCCCACTGATTTTGGTGGTTTACCTTCCGGGGTAAAAAAAAAAGGAGACAATGCCCAAGAATATCTATCTGTTACTTTTAAGTCATTTATGCTTCAGCATGGTATTATTCATCAAACTTCATGCGTTGACACACCTCCTCAAAATGGGGTTGCAGAATGAAAGAAACTGCAATGGCTCTTATATTCCAAATGAATGTGCCTAAACAGTTTTGGGCCGATGCCGTGTCTACTGCATGTTTTTTGATAAATCGTATGCCATCTTCTATTTTGAATGGTAAAGCTCCTTATAATTGTCTATTTCCAAACAAATAGCTTTTTCCTATCCCACCTAAAATATTTGGTTGCACTTGTTTTGTTAGAGATGTTAATCCTCATCTTACAAAGCTAGATCCCAAATCATTAAAATGTATTTTCTTGGGTTATTCTCGAGTCCAAAAGGGGTATAGATGTTTTTGTCCAAGTACAGGTCGGTATCTTGTTTCTATTGATGCATCATTTCATGAAAATGCACCTTTTTCATCATCTAAGGCATATATTCATGAGAATAATGATGATATACTCATTTACATGATGACTATTTTCGAGTCCACACTTTCGACAAGTATTCCACAAGTTACTGTTCTTGACCCTAGGCCTCCTGTACACTTAGTATACACCCGTCGACACAAAGCACCTGATCACCCTCCATCGGCGACACCTGTGATTATTTATCCTGATACTAGTCCGACTTCGATCTCATGTCCTGAACCAGTACCTGCATCATGAGATCTTGTCTCTACATCAGATCTTGACCTCCCAATACCACTACGTAAAGGTACACGGTCTTGTACTCATCCTATTTCTTCATTTGTGTCATATAGTCAGTTATCCCCTGCCTCATGTTCTTTTATTGCTTCCATTGATTCTATTTATGTTCTCAAATATGTTAAAGAGGCTTTGTCTCATCCTGAATGGCGTCATGCCATGGTAGAGGAAATGAATGCTTTGGATCTTAATGGTACTTGGGATTTGGTAGACTTGCCTACAGGGAAAAAGTCTATTGGATGTAAGTGGGTCTTTGCTATTAAGGTTAACCCAGACGAATCTGTTGCTCGGTTGAAAGCCCGATTAGTTGCGAAGGGTTACGCTCAAACATATGGTGTTGATTATTCTGACACTTTTTCTCCAGTTGCTAAATTAACATCTGCCAGGTTACTTATTTCTCTCGCTGCAACTCATGGTTGGCACTTACATCAGTTGGACATTAAGAATGCATTCCTGTACGGTGATCTTCAGGAGGAAGTTTATATTGAGCAACCTCCGGGGTTTGTTGCTCAGGGGGAGTATGGAAAAGTCTGTCGACTTCGCAGGTCTTTTTATGGTTTGAAACAGAGTCCCCGTGCATGGTTCGGGAAATTCAATCAATCAATTGAACGGTTTGGAATGATCAAAGGAAAATCGGATCACTCTGTATTTTACAGACGAATGAAAGCAGGTATCACATTGTTTGTGGTGTATGTTGATGATATTGTGATTACAGGGAGTGATAATGCAGGTATTTTGGCCCTTAAGAATTTTCTTCATAGTCAATTCCAGACGAAAGATTTGGGCTCATTGAAATACTTCTTGGGGATTGAGGTTACACAGAGTAAGAAAGACATATTTCTATCTCAATGTAAATATGTGCTTGACTTGTTAACTGAAACAAGGAAATTATGGGCAAAACCAAGCAATACTCCCATGATTCCCAATGTGCAGCTCACTCATGAAGGCATGCCATTTGAAGATCCAGTAGAAGGTTGGTTGGAAAGCTTAATTATCTCGCAGT